ACTTCCAAAATAGACTGCAATGATAATGTATATTTTATACATTGTGATAAAAATTATTGAGATTATCAAATGCCAACAACAACACATACAGTTTACTGCTCATTCATACATGACGTGGGCAGGTGTTGTGCTAATTCCATAACAAGTGCAAAAAATACTAATTGAAACCATAAGACAACTAACACTTCAATCAAATCAATCAAATGTATTTATAAAGCCCTTTTTACATCAGCAGATACAGAAACCCAGCCTAAAACCCCAAACAGCAAGCAATGCAGATGTAGAAGCACGGTGGCTAGGAAAAACTCCCTAGAAAGGCTGGAACATAGGAAGAAACATACATTTTAGTCCATAGAGAGGAACCAGGCTCTGAGGTGTGGCCAGTCCTCTTCTGGCTGTGCCGGGTGGAGATTATAAGAGTACATGGCCATTTAAGGTGAGATTGTTCTTCAAGATGTTGAAACTTTCATAGATGACCAGCAGGGTCAAATAATATTCACAGTGGTTGTAGAGGGTACAACAGGTCAGTAACTCAGGAGTAAATGTCAGTTGGCTTTTCATAGCCGAGCATTCAGAGGTCGAGACAGCATGTGTGGTAGAGAGAGAGAGAGAGTCGAAAACAGCAAATCGGGACAAGGTAGCACATCCGGTGAACAGGTCAGGGTTCCCTAGCCGCAGGCAGAACAGTTGAAACTGGAGCAGCAACACGACCAGGTGGACTGGGGACAGCCAGGAGTCATCAGGCATGGTTGTCCTGAGGCATGATCCTAGGGCTCAGGTCCTCCGGGAGGGGAGGGAGAGAGAGAGAATTAGAGGGAGCATACTTAAATTCACACAGAACACCAGATAAGACAGGAGAATTACACCAGATATAACAGACTGACCCTAGCCCCCTGGCACATAGACATTTTATATTTACATTTAAGTCATTTAGCAGACGCTCTTATCCAGAGCGACTTACAAATTGGTGCATTCAACTTAGGATAGCCAGTGGGACATCCACCACTGGGGGAGGGGGGGTGTATAAGGATTACTGTTATACTATTCCAGGTATTCCTTAAAGAGGTAGGGTTTCAAGTGTCTCCGGAAGACTATTGCAGCATAGATACTGGAGACTGAGACAGGGGTGGGTCGGGGGACACTGTGTCCCCGTCCGACGATACCCCCGGACAGGGCCAACCAGGCAGGATATAACCCCACCCACTTTTCCAAAGCAGCCCCCCACACCACTAGAGGGATATCAACAGACCACCAACTTACTACCCTGAGACAAGGCTGAGTATAGCCCACGGAAATCTCCTCTACCGCACGAGACCGAGGCGGCGTAAAACCGGACAGGAAGATCACGTCTGTGACTCAACCCACTCAAGTGTCGCACCCCTCCTAGGGACAGCATGGAAGAGCACTAGTAAGCCAGTGACTCAGCCCCTGTAATAGGCTCAGAGGCAGAGAATCCGAGTGGAGAGAGGGGAGCCGGCCAGGCAGAGACAGCAAGGGCAGTTCGTTGCTCCAGTGCATTTTCGTTCACCTTCGCACCCCTGGGCCAGACTACACGCAATCATAGGACCTATTGAAGAGATGAGTCTTCGGTAAAGACTTAAAGGTCGAGACCGAGTCTACGTCTCTCACATGGATAGGCAGATAATTCCATAAAATGTAACTCTATAATGAGAAAGCCCTGCCTCCAGCTGTTTGCTTAGAAATTCTAGGCTCATATCTAAAACTCCTATGACTGTCTCGTCTAGTGTGCTGACCTTCCATAATATTGCTGCTGCATGGCTACATGATCTCCCTAGTCCTGTGATGGATGAACACCCTGCAGTTTGTACTTCCCATGCCTCAGATGGTACGGATTCCTGACACTCTGGCTAGGCTCAACATATGCTTTTAAATAGATGTAGTCCCCTTCCGTCTTCATTAACACATGCCCGACCTTGCTACTGTGCAGGTACTGATAAGCCTTGGAGCCTTTCAGGTGGTTCATGGCTTGCCCATCGCTTGCGATGGATTCAATGAAATAACAAGAAGTACTGCCGTAGGAAATTCGGAGCCATTTTCAAGTTATCCTGCCATCCTTCGATGGTCGAGGGGTGAGGGAGAGTAATGTCGCCTCGTTTTAAAGTTGTTTTAGTATACTCCCAACTTTCGCGACTGCTGATCGTGTATTGTTAAACTTGTTAGCCGCCGGTTGTTTACACTTTGCCGGAAGTTGGTCCAATAATGCGCGCAAAGAATCATGGGATTTAGGAATATTGTGGATATGCTTTTTTCTGTTTGTGTTATTTGTGCTGGTCTAATTCCTATAATGGAAAAGAATCTGTGCGCTCTCGGATAGTAATAATAGTTCATATGGTGCTCTTCGATGTCCCAGGTTAGATGTTTATATGTTATGTTATGTATTAAAGGCATATGTATGCATTTTGTACTATTTAGATGTATTTAAAACAATGCAATTGATGGAGCTCATGTGTTTGGAAGTGATTGATGGGTGACTAGGTGCATTCTTGTTGGCATGTTGTATAATGATTAGAAGACAGGCGCAGGAATACATATTGTTTTTTTAAATTTCTCCACCCAACACAATGTACGTCATGAAAAACGACAGGGACGAAGCCCAAAACAAACACGTATATATATATATAACACAGGGATGTAACCCAAACAAAAGAGTGAGGTGTAAACCTCTAAACAATACACGGGACGAGACCCGTAATAACAAGAGCACAATACATGGTACTCACGAGACCAACGGACATGGGACAATAATCGACAAGGACAATGGGGAACAGAGGGCACAAATATACACATACTAATCTGGGAAAATGGGAACCAGGTGTGCGTAATGAGACAAGACAGTCCGGGGTTGGTGGTAATGATCCAGGTCAGTGACGCATAGAAGACCGGTGATGTAGACCTCCGGAGCTGGTGAACGGAATGAGCAGCAGTACCGGGGGGATCAGTGACAGTACCCCCCCCCCCCCCCCCCCCCGACATGCTGCACCAGCAGCGGGACGACACCGGCCTCAGGGACGACCACAGGAACGCGTTGCAGGTCGGTCAGGGCGCCGACGGTGAAAATCCCTGGTCAGCGAAGCGTCCAGGATGTCCACCGCAGGAACCCAGCACCGCTCCTCTGGGCAATACCCCTCCCAGTCGATGAGGTACTGGAGACACCCCGCCCGACGCCTCGAATCCAGGACTTCACAGACCAAGTATGCTGGACCTCCCTCGATGTCCAGAGGAGGAGGCGGAGTGTCACTGGGTCCAGCCTCAGCAAGGGGAGCAGGAACCACTGGCCAGAGGAGAGACACATGAAAAGTCAGGTTAATGCGGTAATCAGCAGGGAGTTGCAAACGGTACGTTACCTCATTAACCCTCCTCAGGACTTTAAACGGCCCCACAAACCGCGGGCTCAGCTTCCGGCAGGGCAGGCGGAGGGGCAGGTTCTGGGTGGAGAGCCAGACCCAGTCGCCTGGAGAGAAAACAGGCGCCTCACTGCGGTGGAGGTCGGCCTGTTCCTTGTGCCGACGCACTCATCCACCGCAGGGGCCTCGGTCTGGCTCGGATGCCAAGGTGCCAAGGCCGGCTGATACCCCAACACGCACTGAAAAGGAGTGAGGTTAGTGGAGGAGTGGCGGAGGGAATTCTGCGCGTTCTCAGCCCAAGGTAGAAAATCTGCCCACTTCCCTGGCCGGTCCTGACAGTAACACCTCAGGAACCTGCCCACTTCCTGATTGACCCTCTCCACCTGCCCATTAGCTTGAGGACGGTACCCGGATGTAAGACTGACCTTGACCCCCAGGCGTTCCATGAATGCTTTCCATATGCGTGTGGTGAACTGAGGGTCACGGTCTGACACAATGTCCTCCGGGATCCCGTAGTGCCGGAAGACATGCGTAAAAAGAGCCTCCGCAGTTTGCATGGCCGACGGGAGCACAGGCAAAGGAAGGAGGCAACAAGCTTTGGAAAACTGGTCAACAACGACGAGAACGGTGGTATTCCACTGGGAGGGGGGAAGGTCAGTGACTAAGTCCACCGAGAGGTGAGACCAGGGTCATTGTGGAACCGGCAGGGGAAGGAGCTTTCCATAACGGAGGTGTCTGGGTGTCTTTGACTGGGCACAGATGGAGCAGGAAGAGACGTGAACCCGGACGTCCCTAGCCAAGGTGGCCACCAGTACTTCTCAGTCAGGCAGGCGATGGTACGGCCTATCCCTGGATGACTCGACCCAGGAAAGGAGGCGGTTCCGTACGAAGGGCCTGTCGTATGTCAGCGTCCACATCCCACACCACTGGCGGGATCCCGTAACATTTTTCTTGTTTCACATATAGGTTATGCTCCAACAGTCTTCCCAGCACAGACCTGACTAACGAGACATGCTGGGCTCGGTCAGCAGAATAGACCAAAATGTTGTCTATATAAACTACTACACCCCGTCCCAGCATGTCCCAAAACACTTCGTTAATAAAGGCCTGGAAGACTGAAGGAGCATTAGACAGGCCAAAGGGCATTACGAGATACTCGTAATGCCCCGTGGTCGTGGAAAAGGCAGTTTTCCATTCGCCGCCTGCACGAATGCGCACCAGATTGTAGGCGCTCCTCAAGTCCAGTTTCGTGAAGTACTGCGCCCCATGCATTTGTTCGATGATGGTTGGGATGAGGGGTAAAGGATAGCTGAACTTAACAGTGACTTTATTCAGTGTTCGATAATCAATGCAGGGGCGCAGTCCCCCATCTTTCTTCTTAACAAAAAAGAAGCTTGAGGAGGCTGGTGACTTAGAGGGGCAGATAAACCCCTGCTGGAGGCTCTCCTGTACGTAGGTCTCCATGGCCTCGGTCTCCGCGTAGGAGAGGGGATAGACGTGTACTCTCGGTAGGGCTGCGTCCGACAGCAGATCAATTGCACAGTCCCAGGGGCAATGAGGAGGCAGAAAAAGTGTAGCCTGGGTCTTAGAGAAAACCCGGTGCACTTGAGTGGCGTGGTCCGGACTTTCCACCGTAGTGGTGTTGACAGACACCGCGAGACACCTCCCCTGACACTCCTGCGACCAACCCAGCATTCTCCTCTCAGACCAGGAAATAACATGGTTATGCCAACTCAACCAGGTGAGATCTAAAACAACGGGGTGCGTGGGGGTGTTCTAAATGAGTGGCATGGGTCAACAGAGAAACGGGAACAGTGATGTGATGTACGAGCCCTGTCGCTATTGGACGATTATCCAGGGCTCAAACAGGAATGGGTGACTGTAGGGGAACCAAAGGAATGCGTAATGCAGTGGCCAGTGCGCTATCTAAAAGATTCCCGACATCTCCGGAATCAACCAGAGCTAACGGGAGTGAGGTGCTAGGAGGTTCAGGGAATTTAATGGAAAAACACACTGGTTGAGTTGACAGACAAGGAGAGGAGATATTGCATCCTACCTGGGTTGGAGCAGGGGAATTCCCTGGCTTGTCACCTCCTCGCCTATCAGTGGATAGAGGGCAGGTTGGGGAGAAATGACCCCTTTCTCCACAATAGGAGCAGATGCCCAGATTCCTCCTTCTCCTACGCTCTGCCTCAGCCAAACATGCAGAGCCCACGGAGCAGGTGTAGCCATGGGCTCCGGAATCTGCGCAGGTCTTCGTCGAGACCACAGGAGGTTGTCCAACCGGATCGCCATGCTGATGAGCTGGTCGAGTGACAGGTTGTCATCACGGTAGGCTAACTCCTTCTGTACCTCCTCCTGCAGTCAGCTGCGGAAAACGGTGACCAGAGCCGACTCGTTCCATCCGGTGGAGGCCGCGATGGTCCGGAACTCCAGGGTGAACTCCGAGGCGGTCCTAGATCCCTGGTGTAGTCGGAGTAGACGCTCACCCCCCCTCTCGGCCCTCCACAGGATGATCAAACACCGAGCGGAAGAGGAGGGTGAAGCACTCGTAGGACTCGACCTCAGGTCCGCCCGTTTCCCAGACCACAGCACCCCAGTTCAGGGCCCTTCCGGTCAGTGCCGAGATGACTGTTGCAACCCTGTCTTTCCTGGAGACAGCCTCGGCGTAGTGAGAGAGGTAAAGGTCGCATTGCAGAAGGAATCCCTTGCATCTCGCTGACGCGCCATCAAAACACTCCGGGAGGGACAGGGGTATTCCGCGGACCGGCTCAGATGGGACGGAGGTAGGTAGTGGTGGTGTGGGAACTGGTGCCAGAACCGGTGCTGGAGACTGGAGGGACTGCACATTCCTCTCCAAATGCAGGATGGTTGCCAGCACGCTGTCCATGGCGCTGCCGAGTCTGTAGAGACAGTCCTCGTGATGCTGGACTGTCTCTATGATGGTCGCCAGCTCGGCCTTTCCCGCTATCTCCATTTTACAAAGTCTATTATTCTGTCACGTTGTATAATGATTAGAAGACAGTCACAGGAATACGTATTAGGTTTTTTTATTTCTCCACCCAACACAGTACGTCATGAAAAACGACGGGGACAAAGCCCAAAACAAAAACGTAGTTACAATAAATAAAATATGGAACAGTAATGAAAATGTTCAATATATATTTAGTTTTGGATCAACGTAGCTAGTATCTAGCTAGCTGACAGCAAAGGTGTCACCTAGATGAAGTGCAGGAGCTTGCAGGGATTTGTAGTCTTGCATGATGTATACTTTGATGCTAATCAGCATTTTTGAATCCGAGAGTAAATAGAGCCAAATGTATTGTTAAATGTCACCTTGACCGAGAGAGATTTACACAGTTATCAAAATGTAATCCCAGGGAAAGCCTACACGAAACACAGACCTTTTTTTAAGTGGTTCTAAAATCCCCTATGAAAAAATGTATTGTGAAAAACGTTTGGAACCATTTCTAAAACCTTTGCTAGGTTTTATGGGTATTATGATGACAACACTGTGGTACTCTATTGTAAGATGTTTCATTCATCCACCTGTTTATTTGAACCATAGAGACAGTTAGAGGACGCAACATGTACCTGTCACATTATAGAGAGGCTACACGGACACTCCTGGTGCTCAAATTGATGAGTATGTGGCACAGCTCGAGTCGAGACGGAGGGATACAGTTCCGTCAGTTGTCCTGATGAGCCCTTCCCAGCTATCTAGTTTATGCGCTGGTTTATGCTTGTGGCTAGAAACTTGTGGCCGAAGTTGCGACTTGGGAGAGTGTTCAGAATCATTCCGTTTTTATCAGAGTAAATATTATTTTTGTAACTTCTTTTGTTAATGTCGTAGTTGTACATTTTCTGTGAAAATCACTACAATATAGGTGCTTTAGCTGTCACCCTGGCCGGCAAGCAGGAGTGAATATAGGTGCCTCGTGTTGTGCTGCTGGCTTGCAGCGCAAACTCACAACATTGAGCAGTAGACCGTATCACAGTGACATCCAGATGGTTACTACCAATGTTACAAGTTATTTCTCGTGTAGGCTGCCATACTACTCAAAATAAAATTAAGTGGGATGGAAGAAAATGGCCACGTTAACTACCGCCGGCGATGTGATACAGCTGCCTGGTGGGAAGCAACTTCTGCAAGCACCTCAACTGCTGCAAGCACCTCGATACAACACCGTTGCACATTCGTTACATTAGCTAATTGCATGTCATGGTGACATCCAGATGGTGACCAATACAACACGTTTTTTCTCCCTCGTCAATCAAAATAAATTGCACTTTCTTGAAATACGTCATCAATTTGGGCACCAGGCGTGTCCGTATTGCCTCTCCCGTCGCATTATGGCATCTGTGAGAGTATGGGCAGCGCCAATGAGGCCATATCCATTTTGAAGCAGTTCATTTTCTTCTTCTACTACTTCTTTGGTAAACAAACTGAAAAGGTGCATACTACCACCTGGAGTGTGTTGTTTGAACAGGTATAAAGCCAAGGTTGGTGTTTACTGCCACCTGCAGTTATGGAATGTTTGTGCACAAGTATGATTCATTGGCTGATCCCTCCTGATGACCTGGATGGTATTATGTTATCCCAAAGATGCAGTGAAGAAGTCAGTGGAACGACCAAAACCATGGTAATACCATGGAAACGCGTGGGGAAAGGTCCTGAATCTCCTCATTGACAGCAAAATTTGCCTCCATTTACGCTATTGTTTATATGTGTATTTCACAATATGTTGAGGTAGAAATCAGAGTATAATGCTTGTAAGAATGTCAACCCCAATATACATTCATGTTATCGCCACCAATCAACTGCATTGAAGTTTAAAATGACTTTGACTACCACCACTGATTTCTGTATGCTCTCTATGCTGGCTGTATCACAACCGTCCGTGATTGGGAGTCCCATAGGGCGCCGCACAATTGGCCCAGCGTCGTCCGAGTTTGGCCGGTGTAGGCCGTCATTGTAAATAAGAATTTGTTCTTAACTGACTTGCCTAGTTAAATAAAGGTAAAATAAAAAATAAAATGCTACCAGCTCATACGAACAGGAGTTAGCATTTAGCAGTCACTTCTTCTAAAACAGAAAAGTTCTAAATGGTATGCAATGAAAACAGCCAAATATATCAGAATCAGACTTTAGTAACCAAATTGTGGGCCTGTTACAATACATAAATCATTACAGATTTGAAGAATATCCACTTTGTTAGATCAGTATCCTGTATTCCATTGACCTCTTCACTGCATCTATGGGAAGTCCCACCCAGTTGACAACTTCAAAATGGTGTAAGTCCTCAATGGCGCTGCCAATGCTAAAACGGGCTCTATGATTTGAATACACTGCTCAAAGTCAATTTATGATTGATGTGTGCACGCAACTGAGGTCTTGTTTGAAACTGCTAGTGAGTCAGGTGAAGCTAATAGTAAAGAAAGTGACAATGAGTGGGTTACAGTGGCGAAGATAAAAGGAAACAAGAGAAGTAAAGCTGTGGTGGAAAATCTGGAATGTGTTGGAGGAAAGTGTGGAGTTGGTGAGAGTAACAAGAATTGGTCTTATTTAGAGTTTTGGTGTGTCTGTGGAGCAGAAGAACTGTGTTTTAAGACTAAAAAATATATCGGAGTGGAACGTTTCCTGCATGGATTTTCGTAGCAGGGCGCAATGCAAAAAGTCTGGGTAGCCATTTGATAAGATGTTCAGGAGTCTTATGGCTTGGGGGTAGAAGCTGTTTAGAAGCCTCTTGGACCTAGACTTGGCGCTTCGTTGACAATTTCTAGGGCCTTCCTCTGACACCGCCTGGTATAGAGGTCCTGGATGGCAGGAAGCTTGGCCCCAGTGATGTACTCGGCCGTACGCACTACCCTCTGTAGTGCCTTGCGGTCGGAGGCCGAGCAGTTGCCATAACAGGCAGTGATGCAACCAGTCAGGATGCTCTCGATGGTGCAGCTGTAGAACCTTTTGAGGATCTGAGGACTCATGCCAAATCTTTTCAGTCTCCTTATGGGGAATAGGTTTTGTCGTGCCCTCTTCACGACTGTCTTGGTGTGCTTGGACCATGTTACTTTGTTGGTGATGTGGACACCAAGGAACTTGAAGCTCTCAACCTGCTCCACTACAGCCCCATCGATGAGAATGGGGGCGTGCTCGGTCCTCTTCTTTTTCCTGTATTCCACAATCATCTCCTTTGTCTTGATCACGTTAAGGGAGAGATTGTTGTCCTGGCACCACATGGCCAGGTCTCTGACCTCCTCCCTATAGGCTGTCTCGTCGTTGTCTGTGATCAGGCCTACCACTGTTGTGTCATCTGCAAACTTAATGATGGTGTTGGAGTCGTGTCTGGCCATGCAGTCATGAGTGAACAGAGAGTACAGGAGGGGACTGTGCATGCACCCCTGAGGGGCCCCCGTGTTGAGGATCAGCGTGGCGGATGTGTTGTTACCTACACTTACCACCTGGTGCGGCCCATCAGGAAGTCCAGGATCCAGTTGCAGAGGGAGGTGTTTAGTCCCAGGGTCCTTAGCTTAGTGATGAGCTTTGAGGGCTTCAAGTTCCTTGGCGTACACATCACCGACAAACTGAAAAGTTCCACCCACGCAGACAGTGTGGTGAAGAAGGCGCAACAAAGCCTTAGGAGGCTGAAGAAATTTGGCTTGGCACCTAGAACCCTCACAAACTTTTACAGATGCACAATTGAGAGCATCCTGTCGGGCTGTATCACTACCTGGTACGGCAACTGCACCGCCCGCAACCGCAGGGCTCTCCAGAGGTTGGTGCGGTCTGCCGAACGCATTATCGGGGGCAAACTACCCGCCCTCCAAGACACATACAGCACCCGATGTCACAGGAAGGCCAAAAAGATCATCAAGGACATCAACCACCCGAGCCACTGCCTGTTCATCCCGTTATCATCCAGAAGGCAAGGTCAGTACAGGTGCATCAAAGCTGGGACCGAGAGAATGAAAAACAGCTTC